GTGATGGCTCTGCGTCTTGAAGCCAATGAGTCCACGCTGTTGCAAACTTTCACAAAGTCCCTCCATGGTACGGATATTTCCACAGATTGCCTCAGCACTATTTCTCATTTCAGAGATTGTGTCTGCTGCCTCAATGAGATCTCTATACCTTTCTCTGGAAAAAAGTTTTAATAAAATAAACAAAAAAGACCAAGATCATTGTGAAACTCTTGAAGCTTGCAGAAAGATACAATCAACAATAGTGATTATGACCATGAGCCAATGTGTAAAGCATATCCTAAAAGATTATGTGATCTGGCTAGTGTCAGCTAATTTTCATCTTGGGATCTGTGTTACCCACAGTGTTCATTAACTTTTCACTTAGCTATCAAATTAAATGGTAAACTTAGTCTAGTATTGTAACAATAAAAATATTTAACTTCAAGATTCGGATCAGGTTTCAATATTTTTCTTAAAAAAAAAAAAAAACAAGAAAAAAAAAAGTTGTCAATGTGCTTTTACTTATTTATAATTTCTGGATATACAATTTTAACACACTGGCGTATACATATAAGATGTCCACTTTGGTTTTTGCTTAATTCTGTTTAAACTATTTTCAGAAAGATGCATGTTTATTTTTTATTGCTATTATTCTACTAACTTTATAACTATCATAATTTCAATAATAAAAATAACAGTAATGACTTTCATGGCATTAAAAAAAAAAATCCTTCTTGAAAATTTGAGAAATAAAGAAATCCTGTGAGGTCATACTGGGACTACTATATGACTCTTAGTGACTGAGCACTTGTGGAACAATCTATGTGTAAACTTTATACAATCTTCAACAAAACTGCAATGAACAGTAAATGTAGCCAGTGCCAATGGGTTAAAATAAACAGTAAATGAAACTTACCCAACCATAACACGCAAATCCTCTTTCTTCTTTTCAATGTCAGATCGTGTCTTCTTCAAGATGTCTTCCACTTGCACCACAGTGTGGCGCTCAAACAAAAGGGTCACATCATCTTCAGCTGTTACGGCAGGCATGATTCTGGATGTATATCTGAAAATCAATTGAATTTTAGAGGCCAGTCATGGGTATACTTGTATTCTAAAGGAAATGTTTTTAAAATTTAAAAGTAAGGCTTAAAATGAAGACTGCATGAAGATTTAGTAAAACTAACGTCTTATGCTCTGGCACTGGGCAACTAATCTTCCTGTCATATATCTTAGCAAGATAGAGCTTGTAGATATCCCTGGATATTGACTGTTATGCAAATAACCAGTCTGAGCTCTATCTTGCAGAATATACACGATGGAGATTTGTGAGACTGCTGTAGCACAAAGGGCAGGATCCACAGCTTTGAATAATCCAAGACTCACGAAATATGAACATATCCAGTATTATATCTGCAAAAAATATATAAGGACAAAGACGTTCTCAGTCCAAAGATTTAGATTACAATAGTAGAAAAGGCAAAATAGACCAAACAGAATTACTTCTACTGGCAAAACCTTCAATTTATGTACATTATGAATAAATAATTGTCATAAGATAAGTTACTACGGCAGTTATTGAAGGCTATAACATAAAAATACTACAGTAATAATGAGAGGCTGTCATGGATACTCACTTGTCAAAATCGGCTGCCGGTCCCGGACAATCCCTTTGCGTTTAAAATAGTTTTAAAAAATACGGAAAAGACAAAATCAAGATGAAAAATCAGAAACAAGATATCTACAAATCCTACTTGTTACCTTCCTACCTCAGAGCGTATTCTCCTGGTATTTAAATGACTACTTACCCCAGAATCACAATTTCCTTCCCGAAGTCCTGTGTTGTGTTGGCAGAAGACGACCAGTAACATCAACAATGATTGCGATATCCCTAAGGAATCACTAAATCGCTGAACATAAGTTTCCCATCCTTATATTAATACTGATATTATTGAAACTAACCAGATGGTTTTTTAATATTTATTTAAAGCTCTTGTATCTATAAGCAAGATACTAAATGGTCTGATTTTCTATTAGTTATGTCACATCAAAGAGGCTGTGTTTTGTAATCAGCTGATGGAGTAAACAAACCGCAGAGAGACTACCAAAGCAGAGTAAATTTCCGGGGAGGAGCTTCAGATAAAAAGACCCAAGCTCCTTTTACATTCAGCAGGTCGGCAAGAATTGTACTTCGCTAGATTAAGATTATCGAATTAGAGAATGTCTTACAAGAATGAATCAATTAGTGATAGTAGTTATTCCGCACTTTGGGTGTTTGACTATCAAGTACGTAGTATTATAATTAGACTTCAAACTAAAAAGAAGCTATTGATACTTTAGTAAAATTTGAGGTAGTTTTTTTTATCAAAGTGCCCATGTTACCTATTGTAGCGATATTAATGTTGATGGATTGCTTAGGAAGTCCACTTCATACTCACACAACACATAACGTTTTAAGATATCAAGTTGCGATGTAAATACCGATGTTCTTTACTCCCATGGTTGGGGGAGGATTATTTAA